GGGGCCCGCCGGGATTCCCACCCTTCCCCGCCCTCGGCCCCCGCCGAGACCAAGCCCGGCGAAAGCGGATCTGGTATCGCTATATCTACCCTACTCAGGATCCTCGTGAGCACACCTTGACCGAATAAAATAGGGGGGATGGTATCGATGGTAATTCTTCGCGCGTTCAGATTGATACAGAGTGAAAAAAAGGGTTAATAACGCAAGTTGATATGTGTACATAGTTTCATATTTTTATAAACAATTATAATAATATTGAGTTATATCATTGTTGCTTAGTAATATGACTATTACTACTACTATAGTCATAAAAATATATTTGATCCTCTTGGTTTTCTCTTACTAAAATAAGTTCTTTTTTCCCTCTCTTGCGGCGTAGTATTTTGAATTGGTGAAGTCTGAAATGATTGACCTCTTAATACACAACTTGTGCTTGAATTGATCTGAATCGAGTTAGCCCTAGCATCAGGCTAGGAAGATAAAGTGATCTGTAATGCATGTGCAACTCTCCCTTAGTGTAGCATTTATGGCCAAGGTTCAAATTAGAGATTTCTATTTATTTTTGTTTTTTATCCCTATTTTATCTGCCGAGGCGTTGGAAAAGGTAAATTTGAAGGTTGTAGTAAGGGTTTGGCAATGTTTCGACGTCTTGCGTGGCGGCTTTCTCAAGCCACATTACCAAAGGGTATAGTTTTAAAAGGTGAACGAAACCCTTCAAATCCCAATCTACTACGGAAAGGTGTTGCGATATTACCGGATGGTCGGACATTTAGTGGTAGCTTCGACGAAGCTTATGGCTTTCCCTTAACTGGAAGCCAGCTCGAGGAAGACGGCGATCTCTATAAAGGTGGCTTCAATGAGCACTGGCAACGTGATGGGGATGGCGAAGCATGGCTTGCTGATGGCACTCACTACAAGGGACTTTTTCATAAAGACGAACTTGTTGAAGGGGTTGTACGCATTCCCAACGGAACCAAGGAAATTGTGTTTCAGGGCACATTAAAGGATGAGTCCTTTTCCAGTGGTAAGCTTTCTCAGGAGGACTTCACCTACGAGGGAGAGTTTCAAAGCAATCAGCCACATGGTAAAGGCAACCTGGTGTTCGCATCTGGAGCAGAGCAAGAAGGTACTTTTTTTAACGGCAAGCTGCACGGAAACAACTGCAAGATGAAACTGGATGGCGGATTTGTTTATGTAGGTGATTTTATAGACGGTAATATACGTAATGGAACACTTTACACGTCGACCTACACCTACGAAGGAGAGTTCAATGAGCACGGCCGCGCCCACGGTGAAGGCACTCAAACGTATTTAAATAATGATCCTCGGCTTATCTTTACGGGTATATGGAGTAATGGGGCGCTGGTGCGCGGAACTTGCTTAGATGAACACGGAACACCTGTCGATTGGCAGAACAATCACGATCTACAGCAGCGCATGCTTTCCGATACCGCGCAGTCCGATGGGGAGGAGGGCACGGCCATTCACAGTTACTGCATTTCTAAGCTGAAAGAGGCCGATCAAATGCATAAACAAATGAATAAGAGCTACATTCAGGACGCTGAGACAGTGCGAAAGCGCACCGGAAAATACCCATCTAAAACAGACCTTGGTTATGAAAGCGGGCTTCGCCACGAGATCGACGCGTCGGAGAAGTCATCCAAGAAGCAGATGGAGGATGTGGAGCGTTCTCGTCAAGCATTCGCAGAACATAGAAATGACTATGAGAAGGCTTCGGCAAGCTTAAAGGGGTCTAATCATATTATCGGTGAAATCAATGAAAATATGGCCAAGATACAGTTCTCGAGGCAGATGGGAGCGCAACAGCTCGCCGCAGAGCGTGTGGACGAACAGTTCGAACGCTTTATGAAAAATTTCAACCTCCCGTCTGCACAAGCGCGGGACTCACCAACGAGTGGATCGAAAACGACCTCATATGAGAAGTTGAATATCGACGGCAATGAATCCTGGAAGTCCTTTACGCCGAGCTCTTTTGACAGGTGATCCTAACCACTGTCACTGAAACAGAGACATTCGAATAAAAAAAAAGACTCATGCTTTAGGTTCTTGATTTCTGGTTTGACACATATGATATCCTTTTGTGAATAAATACAATAGTCAGGATAAAAAGAATTAAAAAAAGGAGGGCAAACCCTATGAAGTTTGACATTTCGGTACAATTTAAAGCTTTTTTTTGACACTGTGCCTTACTTTTTTTTTACCTCATGGAAAAACTGCTTGCAGAATGGCTGGTGATCATAACTGTCTCAATATTAGTTGTTGTTTTATGAGAGAAAGTAGAAACTTATGAATTTGCATAAAAATATGCGCCGTCTAAGCCTTATTTCACGAGTTCCCTTAGTGTCTACCGTGTTCCGTTTGATTCATACTGAGAACAGCTTTACAGAGCCTCGGGTGCGTGATGCCAGCATGGCGGGTTCTCTCATTTACAACGTGCCGACGATGTCATCTCGAACGGTTGGCCGGGATGCGGAGGTGATGTCTCTCTGGCAAAACCTCCTCTCCGGGCGGCGTTGTCAGCTGCTCGTTGGGGTTGATGGGATCGGCAAGTCCACGGTCGCCGCTGCGTTTTGCGAGTGCGCGCGGTCCGCGCCGCGATTTAGTTGCATTCAGTGGTTTGACGGCAGCCACGCCTTGGACTCGCAACTGGAGCATTTCTTCAATAGCATGCGGGGCCGAAAAGAAAAGGACGTGCTGATTGTCCTAGATGGCGTCGAGGACCCGGAAGCGGCTTTCCAACTGATCCCCCAGCACCCAAATGTTTTTGTGCTGCTGACCTCCAGCGTCGACCGAGCCTCCCCAGCCCTCACGAGCTCCCCGGCGATGCGCGTGAGTCCCGTCCTCCCATTCCCTCCCCACGCGGTGGAGTCGTTTATGGTGCCGGTCGACCCCTGCCAGCAGGCGGACCTGAAGCACGTCTACGCGGGGCTGGGCCATGTCCCACTGCTGATGGACCTCGCCAACCGCCTCGTCCTCCAGGGGCTCCTCTCGAGCGCCGAGTTGAGGGCCCGGCTCGAGTCCGCGGGGCTGCCCACGGGGCCGACCCTGAGCATCGCGCGGGCCCTGGGCGTCCTCCTTCCGCTCGCGGTGGGGGGCCTGCAGAGGCGCTTCCCGCGGGCCCCGCGCCAGCTGGCCGTCCTCGCCGGCCTTCACCTCCCCGACATCGCCGAGGCCGTGATCGG